CCCGGGCGCGCCCACCCGCCCATTGTCGTCCGCTCTTTGTCGTTCGCCCGACGCCGTCTGTCTGTTGCCGTTTGTTCGTCGCCGTCCGCCTGCCGCTGCCTAACCGCCCGCCTCCGCCTCCTTATAGGTAATGTTTTGTACTAAGTGGAGCAAGAAAGACGTATATGCCATGGACGACATGACTCAATATTGGAGCGCACGTGAGCCCAAGTGTTCTATAAAAAGTATAGCTTTTTTCTTAAAAAAAAAAAAGTAAAAATACCTTAACAAACTGTCGGCGATAAAAAGTTGGTGTGGTGAGTCGCCCGTAGGAAGCTGTCGGTCGCCGGAATCGAAATCCCGTCGCCCGCTTCGGAAGGACGTTTTAATTTACATATAGATTTAAATTTAGAAAAATATGAAATCAAACTGATCCTATAATTTTCACAGTTTAAATGAAAGAACACTCTACCTCAAACCCTGTATATATTCCGATGGATAAACATAAGACTTGAGGATGAGACTCGATCAAATAAACTAAGAAATATATGAAGAAATATATGACGAAACTAAGAAATATATGACGTCTGTTTGGTCTGCGAAATCGTTTTATTTGCCGACAAATTTCCCTATTTAATATGAAAAATTAAATAGAGTTTATTTTAAGTTGGGTTCGTAAAAATTTCCGATAAGGGCAAACCCCTATAGTTAATTACATCTTAAATGACCGAATTCACTTAAGAATACTCTCGATAAAAATCAGAAAAAAAATCATCTTCAAGGACTTCAAAAGGATGAGACTTTTCAACGAAATCAGACAAAGAGATGTGAAAGGGGAATGACTTAAATTTGGAACATTTATTACAGAATCCAAAGGAAGAAGAACTAGGGGATGCCACAGATCCAGAGTAGATCTTCGGTGACTTCTCAGTCTACCCTATGGTTTGATTTCAGTTTCGAGGAGAAATATTCAAGTGTTTTATTCTGCAAATTTTATCTATTTAGGGCTTACATTCGTGTGAAACGATCACACAAATAACCTGGAAGATGTGAGAATTTAGGTCGTAATGAACGACACTCTCAGAATCCTAAAATGAGTTAGAGCTTAGATCGTACAACAAAGCTATACAAATGTCTAAAGAAAAAGTTGAGGATTTGTGTTGCGCTAGACGAACAACCTCAAAATCCTATGGATTGTTGTTTTAATTTCTAGGAAAATAATGGTTTAGCTGGGGAAGACATGTTCTGCTGTTGAAGATGGTCGTGCTGCCCACCGCGCTAGTTCCAAGCTCCTTGTCGTGACGAGTTTAAGTTTTCTAGGGTGTCAGGTTATAATGTCAAATCCAGCGGCCCTATGGTTGTAGTTCTTCAGATGTTTTATAGATAACATATTGAAGTTGTATAGTGTACATCATAACAGTAGAATATGTAGTACAAGACAAACAGTAGAGTATGCATAGAGAAAACAATACAACATGCGGTGTAAAGGAAAAAGTAAAAAGTACAGCAGGTAGGTGATTTGCAAGAAAGTAACATGCTGTAAACACAAAGCAAACCTGTATACCCAAAGCAAACCTGTTGCTGTAAACACAAAGCAAACCTGTATACCTGGGAGATCCGCAGTTCCTTAGGTGTAATTGATGCAATCAGGTGAGGAAGCAGAAATTTGAGGAAGCAGGCTGAAATGCTTTATATAAACGAAAACAAAGAAACATCGTCCAGAAATCTCAAGAAAGATTGCCGAAAAACTCACGACAAGAAAAGTGCGAGGAAATTGACGAATTGACAAATCGATTAAAATCATAGAAAACACGCGAAAATCCCGAAAAGAGACCACGAGTGCTTTGTCCAAAAATTCCAAGAAAAACATATGAAAAAGTCCGAAAAGAGGG